GAAGCCATGTGGGGTCAGCTGGATGGCAATGGGGCTCTTTGGGGTCACCTGGAAGCCATGTGGGGTCAGCTGGATGGCAATGGGGCTCTTTGGGGTCAGCTGGGTGCCATTTGTAGTCACCTGTGGGGCAGGGGGGGCACTTTGTGGTCAGCTGGGAGCCATTTGGGGTCACCTGTGGGGCATGTGGGGTCAGCTGGATGGCAATGGGTCTCTTTGGGGTCACCTGGGAGCCATTTGGGGTCACCTGTGGGGCAGGGGGGGCACTTTAGGGTCACCTGGGTGCCATTTGGGGTCACCTGTGGGGCAGGGGGGGCACTTTGGGGTCAGCAGGGCAGCTTGTTCCAGCTGGGGGTGCAGCCTTTGTCCCCCCCCAGCCCCGCCATGGCGCGATGCCCCTGGCCGTGAGATGGCCGTTCCCCGCAGGCCCGCCGCTCTGCAGCCGCCTGGTGCTGGGCCTGGTGGGCACCTACAGCTGCCTGTGGACCCGTGAGTCGCCCCACAACCTGGGAGCCTTACCCCCCAAATTCCTGGCCTGGGGGAACCTCACCGTGCCCCCCCCCCTTTCTTCCCCCCTTAGGGTACCTGAACCGGCTGCGGGTGCACAATGCTGAGGTGCTGCACGAGTTGGTGGAGCGACGGGGGCCGCAAACCCCCCTCCTCACCCTTTCCAATCATCAATCCTGCATGGATGACCCACACCTATGGGGTGCGTGGGGCTGGGGGAGGCCTCAGCAGGGGTGGGGGGGGGGGGACGTGGGGTGCTAAGGAGGTTCCTGTGCAAGCTGTGTTTAGGCGCTAGGGTGGGATTTTGGGGAGCGCTCATGGGGGCGCCGTGGGTCTGGGGGCTTCTCATCGTCTCCTTTGTGTCCTTTTGCTGCCGCCAGGCTCTCTGAAGCTTCGCCACATTTGGAGCCTTCACAAAATGCGCTGGTGAGGGTGGGGAGATGTGGGGTGCGGTGGGGGTCGTGAGGCTCCCCGCTGCCCCCCCTCATGCTGTGGACCGACCCCAGGACCCCCAGAGTTATGGGAGGCAATGGGTCCTTATGGGGTCATTATGGGGGGCAGTGGGGTCTTATGGGGTCCTTATGGGGTCGTTACGGGGAGCCGTGGGGTCCATATGGAGTCCTTATGGGGTCCATATGAGGGGCAGTGGGGTCTTATGGGGTCTTATGGAGGGCAAAAGAGTCTTATGGGGGGTTATGGGGTCGTTATGGGGGGCAGTGGGGTCTTATGGGGTCCTTATGGGGTCGTTACAGGGAGCCGTGGGGTCCATATGGAGTCCTTATGGGGTTGTTACGGGGGGCATTGGGTCCTTATGGGGTCCTTATGGGGTCATTACGGGGAGCCGTGGGGTCTTATGGGGTCTTATGGAGGGCGAAAGGGTCTTATGGGGGGTTATGGGGTCGTTATGGGGGGCAGTGGGATCTTATGGGGTCCTTATGAGGTCATTATGGGGGGCAGTGGGTCCTTATGAGGTCTTATGGGGACCTTATGGGGTCCTTATGGGGGGCAGTGGGTCCTTATGGGATCTTATGGGGTCCTTATGGGGTCATTATGGGGGGCAGTGGGGTCTTATGAGGCCTTATGGGGGGCAATAGGGTCTTATGGGAGTTATGGGGTTGTTACGGGGGACAGTGGGTCCTTACAGGGTGCTTATGGGGGGCAGTGTGGGGTCCTTATGGGGTCCTTATGGGGTCCTTATGGGGAGCAGTGGGTTCTTATGGGGTCTTATGGGGTCCTTATGGGGGGCAGTGATGTCTTTTGGGGGCATTGGGGTCTTAAAGGGTCCTTTGGGGTGGCAGTGGGGTCTTATGGGGGTTATGGGGTCGTTATGTGGGGCTGTGGGCTCCCCGCTGCCCCCCTCACGCTGCGGCCCGACTGCAGGACGCCCACAGCCGCTGACATCTGCTTCACCAGGGAGCTGCACTCGAGGTTCTTCAGCTTGGGGCGCTGCGTCCCGGTGTGTCGAGGTGAGGGGGGAAGTGGGGGGGG